GTTAGGCTTTTAATTTTAATAAAAAGGGCTGCCGTATTTGTAATACTAATTTTAGATCCGGTTCTATTAATTATTAGTATTTTAATAAGGGGTGAAATAAATTAATAATTATTCTAGAGAGTAAATAAAGTCCCCTCCTTATTCCCTATTGTAAGAGATGGCGGTAGTGGCAGTAACGGCGATTCTATTTAAATAGGGTAAGTAATTCCACTTTTTAAATTCGCTACTAGTATTTATAATAATAGCAGTAGTATTAATTTTATTCGAATAAAATTAATAATTAATATCCTCCGGGCGGAAGGAGCGGTTTCGTACTTCGGGGCTAGTTAGTAAAATAGGGCGTTCTTACTACGGATAACTACAATCGAAACTTAATTAGTAAAAATTCTTAGCGCTATTAATTAATCCCTAGGAAGGTTAACGGGTAAATAATAACCTTAGTAAATAGGATTAGTAAAATATACTCCATACCGGTCGTAATTAATTTCGGGCTTATAATATTATATTTAAGGGAATCCTAAAATTACTAGATAGTTCTTTAAAATATTATAAACCAAAAAGGTAATTATTTTACTATAGTATCCAATCCGGAGTTTAATTATTACTCCTTTAAAAATAATACTTTTAATTACCCTATTAGCGAGGATAAATTTCTTTGCCCGGTAGAAGCGAAAATAGGGAAGGTTGTATTTAATTATAAAAAAATAGTTAATAAAAGCGAATATAAAACAGCCAGAATTAATAAGGGCAATACAATAATTTTTATACAATCTAATTATAATGTAAAAAAATAAGAGTATTGAATTTAGGGAAGTAGAACTATTTAATAATTATATTCTAACCTCTTTTAAACCCTTTAACTCTATAGAGTTTAAAACCTATCTCTATAATAATAATAAGGAAGGCTTTTATATATAATTGAGTATAGAAGTTAAATATTTTCCGGATTATTATAGTATTCGTTACTAGCGGCGATAGCGGTAGTAGGGGCTACAGCGGGAGTAGTAATAGTAATATCGGCGGCGGGCGCGGCTCTAATAGTATAGACCTCTTCTCTACCGCGGCAACCCTTACTTTTACCTTTCTTCTTCTTACCTTTATTATACTAAAGACTTTAAGAGTTATAACTAATTAAAGCGAAGTAATTGCGGGCGATATAGCCGTTACTACTATAATAGCGGTATTTACCCTTGCGGGTACGCTAATCGAGAATATCCTTATAAATAAAAATAGTAAGGTCGATAATATTGAGGTCTATTTTATTACTACCCTAGCTAATAGGAACGTTATTAGTATTATAAGAGTTAGCGCTACCTGTATTAGTATTGGTACTACTAAAATTATTACTAACGGGGGCGCTGTTATTAAAAATATAAATATTTATTTTATAGTAGTGGTTGGCGTCCTCCAAATTACTTGCGATAGTATAGCAGATTACGAGCTATTTTTTAAAATTATTAGCCTTAGGAAGGTTACAATACGCGAGAATATTGTAGAGGCGTTTATTAATCTTATTATATAGGTAGTAAACCTTTATAGAATTATCAAAGTTATAAAGGTTTATTAAATTAGTAAATTCTAGTTCGAACTCCGTAAAAGATATATTCTTTATAAAGAATTCCTTAAAATAATAACTAGCGTTTATCTTTAAATTAATATTCTAAAAACGAGTAATTAAATATTCTATAAATTTAATACCGGTTTTTTAACGCTAAAAATTTATATTTCTTCTATTCTAAATAATATCCAAATTATTTTAAATACCGAATAAGATTTTGGAACTTAATAGTATAGCGGTACAAATAATTTTAATATCCTTATTAATATAAAAAAGGGGGTCGCACTTCTATTAAAATAAAATATAGAAATGCTATATTTTAAAAATTTCGTATTTACGGGCTGTACTAATATTCTCCTTACTGGTAAAAATCGGTAAATTCTCTATAATCTACCTTAAAGATAATATTTTACTAGTACTAATATTAGTGGTTTTATTAAAGTTATTAAGTAGGAACCGGATATTAACACTATAAAACTTAAGGGTAACGTAGTCTGCGTTGAAATTATTATATTTCTTTTAAAAGTTATTAAATTCGATTATTAAATTGAAATAATTAAAATTCTTCTAATTAAAATTATTTTAGGCTCTAGTAGCTACTTTATAAATAGTTTTTAATTCGTCCTTACTACGTTCAAAGTCGATAGTAATGTTTTTATATTAAGTAAGGTCGTTGTAGTAAAAACAATTAAGCAGGGCGATGATTAATCGGAAAACGGGGTCCTAAATAATAATATTAGCTACATCGAAGTAGGCGCGAAGAATAGCTTTCTTTTTTTTATTATTATTAATACTAATAAAAAGGTCATTAATTGCTATTAAAGGAAGGAGTTTGATAAACGCGGTTTAATAAACGGCAATATCAATAGTATTAATAATTTCGTTAAATACTTTATAAATATTATTCAAATTAAACGGCGTACTCTTAGGAGGGGCACCGAGATTAATAAAATCATTAATACTATTAACGGGAGAAAAGGACGCGTAGTCGCTACTCTTATCGTAAGACATAAGAAAGGTAATCGTACGAAGCAATCTCTTATCCCTTAAATAAAGAGTATTTACCCTTATTTATTAAATAAAGGAAGCGAGACTATAATTACGATTATTATAACTTACAATTATCGGTATTTGGGGTATTAGACTCGGCGATTCGACGAACGAGGCGATTCCTATACGCGCGCTAATTGAAAATCAATAGCGTAATAAAAGAAAATAGGTTTATATTATAAATATAATAGTTAAAAGGTATAATTAATTATTATAAATAAAAGGTAGATAATAGATATAATTATACGTAATTGTACGAAGGAGAAAGGAAGAGAAGTATAGCCGAGTGCCTAGAAGGCTGGCTTTATAAAGGTAACCGGCGGCGGGTCTAACAGACCTGCGGTAGGTAGCGTTCTAACTAATTAGCTGCCGGCAATAGTCGGCTTACCGGCGGTAATAACAGCGTACGGCAGTCTTAGAAGCTGCTGTACGCTAGCACTAGGCATAAGGCACACAGGCTAACCCTGTAATAGTAAGAATATAATATAATCCGGGTTTAAATAGTATAAGATAGTTGCTACGGTATTACGGGGAGTTGAGACCGTAGTTACTATTCTATTAAGTAACGGATTCGTTACTAACGGATTCGTTTTAAAAGAAGAATCTAGTAAGTGACGGATTTGTTAAAGGGATTAATACGTAGCGGATTCGTTACTAAATAACGGATTTATTTTAAAGAATTATGGTTAATTATAATTTAGATTTCATATTAATAAATAGTATTATTGAATAAGAACTTCTAATTGTAGATAATAATTAATTGAAAAGGAGAGTCCGTCAATATAACGGATCCTCCTACAACTATCTATACCTGCTCTATATTGTGTCGGGTTGTGCTAAGCCGAATCCGGTTCGGTATAGTTTAGTATATATAGATTTAGGAGAGGCGGATTCGTTATTTAATATCTCCCGGGGTCGGGAGAGATAATTACCGAATCCTCTTTTCACTACTATTTAATTATTTATATTATATATTTCACACCTTTAGCGTCCTACTGGAATTGTTATCCCTTTTTTAATTACCTAGTATTTTACTATATTTAATGTATTGAATTAATCCTGATATTTTTACTTTTATATTATTAAAGTGCTTTGTAAAGATTTTAACCCCTTTTCTAAGTAATAATAGTAGAGGTGAGGGTAATAATAGATTTATTCCTAAGAGTAATAGGAATTGTTAATAAGCGTAGGCGGATTATTTATTGAAGTGGTTAATAAATTTGTTTACCCTAGTAGATAGGGGCTTAGATTTAGTAGGATTACTATTGTCCGCGAATAAAATTCAATATGTTCCTAAATTTTAATAATATTATTTTTATTTAATTACCTTATTAGTAGGTAAGTCTAAATCTATTATATTTTTATTACTATTATTATTTATTATAGCCGATATTATTCGGTTTGCCTAATTAAAGTATAGATTTAGCGTAGTTATATTAGTAGCCCTAGGCCGTTGGATTAATTTTATAAGACTTTCTATAATAGGAAGAGGGTTAAATAATTGATTATTAGTAAGTTCGCGGCTATTACGAATAATGGATCTGCTAGTATTAGATCTTTAGCGTAGGTGAATAGGAGTTTTCTCAATTTGAGAAATAATTTTAGTATTAAATAATATTAATTTATTAATATATTCGGCGAATATCGAAATTTCTATAGCTTAAGGTATTTTCTTTAATTGTTTAATATTTTCCTTAATAGTAATTAAACGGCGGGTTATAATATCTTAGAAGTAGACGCTCTTTTTAATTGCTTTACGTATACGAATTTTTATAAAGTGAGAGATTTTATTGGCGACGAACCTATTAATTTAATTATATAGTTAGTAGTTAATACTATTAAATTTACTAAAACGAATTTTAATTAGATAGGTTATACCTAAATAAAAAAGATAGTTAGTAATTTACTTAGGAAGGCTATTCGATATATTCACTATTCTATAAGTAAGGAGGGCGGATTAAATAAGTAGATAATTCTTTTAATCGGAAGTAGCGCCTTCTTCCTTCTAAATATTAATAGTTTTAATAGTTTAGTTACGAATACTCTTAACTATTAGTAATTCTAAATATATTACTTTTCGTATATAGTTGCGACGAGTGTGATTGACCTGCTTGTAAAGCTAGTTAAGTATTTCCTTAGTATTTAAGTATAAGACGTTTGCGTTTTAATATTCTTTAATTAATTCGTATAGTTCGTTTCTTAGGTAGCGGATTATAATAATTCTATTAATTAAATTACTATTAATTAAATTAAATTCGTTAATAGCGAAAAAATGCTTTTAATTATCTTTAATAAGGTTAATAAGATTGTTATATACGTTTAACGGGGCGTTATAAAATAGTTCTTATTAATAATTAAATTTAAAATTTTAAATAAGGGATTAGATTATATTCTAAGAATTATTTATAAAGGTCGGTTTATTATTTGTTATTCTATAAATAATTTTAAAGGTAGGGATTAATTGTAATTTAATAATAAAATTACCGCTATCCGCTAAACTTATTAAAGTACGAGTAACTTCTAGTAAATAGTTTAATAGATTATATTTATATATAGTAACGCGACCGTCTTAATTAGTAATATTGAGTGTTCGATTGATGTGTTTTAAAACGCTAGGCTTTTAAGGCTTTATATATACTTTAATCCGACCGTTGGGGGTTACTAATTAGATTTACCAACCGGCGTTTACTCCCTTTAAATTAAAATGTAAATTAGGAGGGAGCCGAAATATTATAATAGGTATAAAGGCCGTAATATTTTTAAATATAATTACTAAAAGAATATTTATAATTATTAGAAATCTAGCGAAGACCGAGAATATAATAAGGTATACTTTAGTAATATTACTATTTATATTTATAATAAAACCTAAGTAAGTTTCTATAGTAGGAATTAAGTAGTAATATAAAAAGATATACTAAATAATCCAACTAACGGAATTGAAGCGCTAATCTCTCACTATAGGCGTAAGCTTGAAGAATCTAACAATTTCGTTTACCGCTACAATATATATTGTACGTACGTAGAAATTTTAGATCTACGCCTAAATCTATCGGTAAATTAAATGGTATAAAGCTACTATAATATCCTTATATAGTAGGATAAATACTATAATTAGATTAATAATACTATATAGTATTTATATTATAATCCTATTCCTAAAGAGGACAACTACCTACTCTTTAGCAATCTCTTCTAAACGGGTATATACATTGAATACAATATATCCTTCCACGTCCTTAGCAAAGTTATATAAAATAGTATAAATTAATTTAATAAATTCCTTATTATAATTCTCGAATTATTTACACGTCCTACTAGAAACTATAGTACTAATATTAAACGTAATTTCAGTAATTATATATTAATATTAGTCTAGCTCCGTAAGGAGTAAGTAGTCTACTATAGCCTTTAATTGTATATAAATTAATTTTTAACGAATATATTTACGAATAAGAAAGTAAATAAGGAAAATATAAACGATTTTTTTATAATAAGGATAATAATAAAATAAAAAAAGTATAGGCGGATTTAATTATTATAAAGAAAAACGAATAGGAGGTTTAGGAGAAAAAGTAGATTATAGGCTCCCGGTATAAAAAAGAAAAAGAAGTTAGTATAATAAATTAGAATTAAAAGAAAATAATAATTATTAGAGGAGAGAAAAAGGAAAGGAGAAAGGAAAAAGGAAAAATACTAGGTTAAACGAATATTATATAGTGGAGTAAGTTAAAATAAAATAAAATAGATAAGGAAAAATATATTAGGGCCTATATAGCGCCCCTTTATTAATAACGGGGAAAGTAATGAATTCGGTTATCTTTAAGTACCAGTAACGAATCCGTTATTAATTAAGGAATTAATAAGTTCGTCCCATTTCCTCGGGTAATAAATATAGGTTATACTTCTATTATTAGACCTTTTTCCTTTACTATAGTTAGTAGAGTAATAATTATATTAGTACGTAGAATAGTTTTAACTAATATTTATTTTAACGGAATATATTTAGACCGTTCTTTTTCCTTCTACTAATTAATAGAGAACCTTCTCTTATATTTTCGTACTATCTTCTTATTAAAATTTATTAGTATTAAACGCCTTAATTATTATATATTTATTTTTAATATATTTTTCTTCGTAATTAAAAATTTAATTACCTCGCTTCTATACTTATAAACCTTTATACAACGCTCTATAATCTTTCTTAAAATAAAAGGCGCCTAATTATCCAATTCTATTTCAATAGGAGGATCTTCCTATTTTTAAAAGGGATTTAGGCCCTTAATTATCTTATATAATTAAATTACCAATACTATACGATAGAGCTTTAAATCCCTTAGGAAATCGAGTTTATAGGCGAAATATTTAACCTTCTTTATAATACAATATAGACCTAATTTTAATATTAATTACTTTCGCTTCGGCTTTTTAAGTAATTTATATCTATTATTAAGTTGAATATAAATTATATCCCCGACCTCGAATTGTATTAGAGTATATTTTGTATTATAATACCGCTTCACTACTATATTTACTTTATTAATTAATTCGGCCGCTTCTTTCTAATATCCCGATTTAAATACCTATAAGGCCGCTATACTAAGCGGGGTCTCCTCATTAAAGAGTTTAATAAAGATATCTAATATCGACCGAAATTTAAATTTATATACTATTTTATTTAGGTTTATTTCCAATATAATATATATTAAATTATTAAATTAGTATTAAATAATAAGTAGAATATTAATTTATAATTAATTAAAAGTAGTATAATAAAAGCGAATAGCGGTTTTAATAATCTAATTAATATATTTAAATTATCTATTTATTTAGGGATAATATACTATAAAATAAAGTAATTTAATTCCGCAAATAAAAAAGATCTCTCTCTATATTTCGGATACGAATTTTATATTTCGATCGTTAATAATCCTTTATAGAATACCCTAATTAGTAAAACTCCAAACTCGCAATTTTACTATCGCTTAATCCTTAACTATATATGTAAAATAACCGGTTGTTAATAGGACCTTCTTATTAAATTTATATATATCGGTACTTATAATATTTAATAACGGATAACCTAGCAATGCCCAAAAGGTCCCTTATATATTTACGACGGGTATATTAATTATAAAATTGGTAGTTATAGTATAAAAGGGTTATAGTAAGGAGCGAATAAGCTAAAGCTCCCTTAATATTAATTAATGATTAATCTAATACTTTTAATAAATTCGGTAGTAATTAACGTACAACTTTACTTTCTATATTTTATAGTAAAAGTGGATATAATTGAGTTTAGCTATTATACGGTTAACTCTAATATATTATTTTTTATTATATATTAAGGTTAGAATTTTGGGTATATAATTTAAAGGAAGGTAAATCCGCTTTTTATTATTATAATTAATATAAAAGAGAATATTATTATAAAGTTTAAACGGGCTAGCTAGTAAATAACCTTTGCGGTCTATACGTTTTAGTAATGAATTCGGTGGGGGTATTAAATTCGCTGTTGATTAAATTATAGTATATAATATATCGATAATCTTTTAGTACTACGGATTTATCTTATAATTTTCTATAATTTTCGCTTTAAATTCCTATATTAATACTGGTATAGCGGAATAGAAATTTAGTGCTATTAATTCCGTTTAATTTACTTATATATTTTTTAATTAATTTATATTATTATAATTAATATAATAGTTAAATTCTATTGGAAACTATAATAGTATATCGGGTACAATATTTAATAGTCTTAGAATATAGAAGATGTTTAACCGAAATTATAATACTTAATTCACTATATTAGCTAGTTTAAAATTCGTTTTAATTAAATTTATAATAGTTAGAAACGTATATTTCAGGATCCTTTTCACTAGCGAATAATCCGTTAAAATAATAATAGGATATTTATTAAATTAAACTATCTTTTATTATTTTTTAAAGTCTAAATTACTATTACGACTTTAGTTTTTATAGAGCTGTAGTATTTCTCGGTAGGGGTTGTTTTTTGAAAAATGAAGGTAATTAAATGAATTTACTTAATAGGAATATTATATTTAGGTATATCCTTACTATTCTATTTATTTATAAATTGGAAGGTTACTATATTAAAACCCTATTTGTATATATCGGTTTTAAAGAAGAGTAATTGCGAGCGATTATAGTACTAGAGTTTAATTTAGTTATATAGGTCGGCCTATATAATTTCGAAGGACCTCTGTTCTTCTTTAATAAAAATAAATTTTATTTTAGTAGTATAAACCTTATAAATATTCTTAAATATTCTAATAGGTAGTTTTCCTAATTTATATCCTTATTAGAATAATTCGGTTTTATAGCGTTTAAGTAGAGCGCTTTTAATTTAAAACTATATAACGTTTGACCGAAGCTATTCTACTATACCGATATAAGTTTTTAGTACTTTTAAAATCTTAAGGAACTTAATTTATTTAAAAGTAATAATACAATTATTAATACGGTTAACTCCTTCTCTATCTATTATATAGTTAAGTAATTTTACCGACAGATACCCTACAAAAGATTTATTTGTATTAATGTAAATACAATGTTTATCGATAATATTTAATATTATTTAAAGATATTTAAAATATTCCTCGGCTATTTTACTAAATATAATAATATTATTAATATATACGCGAACGAAATACTGATATTCGAAAAAATAGTAATTTATAAAACATTAGGCGAAAGTTGGGGCATTCTTAAAACCTATTAAAATAATGTTAGACTATTCGAGCCTTCGGGGGTTAATAATTATTATATAATCCTTATACTTAGAATATACTAGTAATTAATAAAAGAAATTAAAAGTGTTAAAGATAGAGAAAATAATATAACCGACTATATTATCTATAATATTTTACTAATTAGGAAGAGGATATATATTTAGGATAGCGACTTCGTTTAACGGCCGAAGGTCGGAAATAATTTATCCTTTCTCCTTTTTAATTCCTTTATATTATATAATGAAAATAGGGTATATTAAGGGCGCCGATTAATTTATAAAGTTTATTCTTCTTTAGATATACAGTTAGTTGTATATTTCGTTAAAGAAAGCGCGGTCCTTATATTCTAATAGGTAAATACGAATTTATTTTCTTTAATTTTACTAGCCCTCGACTAAATTAATATGCATCTTCTTATCTTCGATTATAGGAACTACTCTTCAATTACAAAAAATATTATAATTATCTATTAATTTAATAAATTTTTTAATGAATTCTAGCGAATTATAATAAACGCTAATTCCTTATACTAATTTCGCCTTAAGAATATTATTAAACTTATTTAGGCCTTATATTAGTAGTTTGAACGATTCCGGTTTCCGAAGGGGAGTTGGCATATTTAAATCCGCTTCCTTAACTATTATTACCGTTTATCAATCCTTTTTATTAAAAAATATTATATACTAATTTAAAGTAAACCCGGCTTAGATAGTAGGTATAAGGTAATTGAAATTATAATTGTTTATTAATATACTAAATTTATTTCCTATATATTTATAAATATATCCAACGGTTTTATAAGCCTTAATAATAA